GCTGGGCGCCGTCTGCGGTCCCGGGCGGGGCGGGCTGGGGGCGGAGCGGGGGCGGGGCGGCCCGCGTGGTGGAGGCTGAGCCCGGCAGCGCCTCTGGGAGCCCACGTTCCCCTGGGCCCGGGGTGCGGAGGGCCTCCGGCGGCCAGCCCTACCCGGCCCCGGCCTCGCGTGCCGTGCACCGTCTGTACCCACCGCACTCCGCGAACCGCTGCCCAGCGCGCCCAGCACACACCTTCATCAGTCACTCCGTGAGATCATTCATTCATTGCCACTTTCTAGCTACGTGGCCTCGTGCATGCCACTTGACCTCTTTGGGCGTCAGTTTCCTTATTTTAGTAAAACGAATTATATCATAGTGGTGGTGCTGTAAAGGCTTAGAAGAGGTTGTATTAAGATATCTGGCACACAGTAGGTGCTCCGGTTCCCTTGGCCAGTACTAACTAGTTGCGTTAGAGAGCTGGAGAAGGGTTCCTTAGTCTGTCCCTCAATCTCAGTGCAGCCAGTGAGAGCAAATTCCAGACCAACATATGTCAATCCCTGTTAGGGCACCACATGTATCTGAGGAAGAGGTGATTTCTCCATCACTGTAATGAGCCAGGAGTGAGGGTGCTGGGGGTTACAAAGTGGCCTCAGTGGGCACCTCTGAACCTTTTTGGCAAATCTCCCTCAGTAAGACAGGTCTGAGCATGTGAAGCCTACGAGGTGGGATGGGGTGGAGCATTCCCAGACAGGAATGATATGTTGCTGAGAGAGGGGCTGGAGAGGCCCACGGGCTGTCTCCATTTGCCCTGACTCTCTGAACCATCTGATTTTGGATGTGAAGCCTCTCAGTGCTGCTACCTTTTCGAAAGAAACCTGGTCCCTCACAGTTCCTGGGCTGTCCAAGGACTGGGGACAGGTGTGTGCAGTGGAGGAGTGGGGAGGCAGGTGGACATGCCAAAGGTCAGAGCAAGTTCATGGGGCAAAACCACCCAGGCCACCTGCTTGGATCCCAAAGGTCAGGGCTGCCTGAGTCAGAGGGCAAAGCAGGCCTGAGGCCATAGGTTCCAAGAGTCAGGAAGCAGCTGGAGCTGAGGAGGAGGGGCTGGACACTAGAGGTAGAAAGGGAAGAGGAAGTGGAGGTCACCTGGGTGGCAGGGAGGGGGAGAGAGTATCACTTCGTTGAGAGCTGGAGGGTCCTTAGAAATAGTTTGGAGAGAACTGGGGAGCAGACAATCAGAGAGGTTTGGGGCTCTCCCGAGGGTCCACAGCAGGTTGGGATAAAAACTCAGATCTCCTGGCTCCTGCACCTTGGCATCAGGAAGGTGCACCTGTGTGTGACAACTGGGGGTATTGGCCAGGCCCCCGTTAACAGGCTGTTCGTCCCCACTCTTGCTCCTCACCACCTCTGCACTCCCCTCCCCGTTCTTTAGCCCAACACCCGGTTCTCTCACCTCTGCCCTGCGGCTAAGGGGTGGGAGGAGGTTCAGTTCTTAGGAGCTAGGACTCTCAGGTTGTGTGCTCAGTTCACCCGATGTTCTCTCCAATCTCTCTGAGCCCGAGTGGGACCCACCCAGGCCGGGATGAGCCTGGTGAGACCCTAGGGGCCAGTTAAGATTCTGCAGCCCCACTGAGTCTTGCCTTAATCCACAAAGACAGCAGCCCCCTTAATCAGTATCTCGCCCCTTCCTTTTCAGCATCAGTTAAATACCTTGCACTACAAATCAAGGACACGGTAGGGAACTTGGGAGCCACTTTGTTGTTACTTTCTGAGCCTCAATTTCCTCATCAGCAAAATGGGAACCTTGAGATCTGCCTCACAGACTGAGGTGAGTGTTGGACAAAATCAGTGGGGAAATTGCCTATAAATGGTAAAAAGCTCTATAGGGTATCAGCT